AGGGAAAACATCCCATTTTCTCATAACCGTGTAGCATTGAGTCTGCTGCGCACACAGGGTGTGTCTACACTGCACCATTAGCTTGAAATAGCTTATTTCGTAATTTGGTGCTGTCTACACTGTGCCAAATTTTGAAATACACTGCTATTCTGAAATGTCCATTACACCTCATGGAATGAGATTTACAGGGACCTCAGAATAGTGAGTCCATAATATTTCAGAATAACGGGCTTGCTCAAAAGATGCAGAATGGCTATTCCGGGATACTGGAAGTATCCCGAAATAGCACCACAGTGTAGATGTACCCACAGTGAAAATGTCTCCTCTGTTCAGGAGATGACTTTCATTTTATAAATTGACCTGCCTATGGCTTCTGAAGATTCCCGGAGAAGAGTTGTCAGTTATCCTGAGAGACAGCATGCCTTTAAGACAAAACAAAGTCAGTTTCAGCAAATATCATTGAAAAATATAGCTCTTTCCTTAAGTGGCTGAACCTCACCTGAGAACATTTAGATCAACAAATAAAGTTCTCCCCCCAGCCCTTGAAGAAAAACACCAGGGCTGTGTCTAGACTGGCAAGTTTTTCCACAAAAGCAGCTGGAAAAACTTGCCAGCTGTCTACACTGGCCGCTTGAATTTCCACTGACGATCTCATGTAAGAAATCAGTGCTTCTTGCGGAAATACTATGCTGCTCCCGTTTGGGCAAAAGTCCTTTTCCGCAAAAGCTTTTGCACAAAAGGGCCAGTGTAGACAGTTCTCCGTTAACAGTTTTCCGTTAAAAGCATTTGCAGAAAATCATGCCAGTCTAGACGTAGCCCAGAAGTAACAAAACAGAAAATCAATCATAGCTTTAACTCTAACTGTAATTAAAGACCAACTGTTGGGTCATTTTTCCTCCTCTGTGCTAAATTTCTGATAGCAATCTAACCTCTCAGCAGTACAGTCTTCACTAAATCCTTCCCTATCCCTTGCTAAAGAAAACAAACTCCTGTGAATAATGCAGCACAGAATTCTAAGTAGATATGAATTCTCTAAGTGGTTTACTGGCTTTGACAAATCTGTCCCACCTGGGTTGGTTGTGTCTTTATAAGTAGAAAGACCAACGCGCTCTGCTTTTCTAGGGGCCTCTAGTTGATTTTAGCTTTCTGAAGTGGAAGATCAGCTTCAAGCAGGTGAGTTTTTGGAAATAATTGTATTTCTTTCCAAAAAGTTTTAGCATGTTTTGTTCTCTCATATCTTTCTACAAGGATCTCCCAAATAAAAGCAGCACAGTCTCATTCTTTTGGCATGCCCGATCTGAAGGAAGTTATCTTAAATGAGTTTTTAACATTTATCTAACCCCAGACAGTGTCTGTGGGACCTTCCCTCTAGTTTAGTTCGGCTAAAAGGAAGCAAATAACTTTTTTCAAGTACTAAAGATGTTTTTATTGTCTTTAGAGTAGAAGAGGAAAGCTTTCTCTTCTCCCAGGAAGAAGGCAGCCCAAATTTTCTCCTCTGTGTTCTAGAACTGAGGCAGAGGTGCTCTCAACTTGTAGTGTTTCCTTTTGATTTGGATGTGAATGTCCATATGCCAGTAGTTGTCTAGGATATGCCTTCATCACAATCTGACTGCTTGTGTTAACACTCCCCTCCCCCCCCATGCAATCAAAAATAACTGCTCACCTAGGCCTCATTTTCCTTTTGCTCTCTCCATGGCAATGCCTGTATAACTTTGTTTAGAAATCAAAGATATGCTAATGTAAAAATAAGCATAAGTGAAGGCAAATCCTGCTCTGTATTTGTGTCTTCTGGGGCATCTGGAGCTGTATCTCTCATTACAGTGAAAATTATATTTTCCACAGGCACTGATCTGACTTGTTTCTCTAACTGCATGTGCTCTAATATAGATCTCAGGGTTCAGATCCTCTTTTTTAAAGGGTATTTTGGAGTTAAATACCTTTTGTGGATCAGGGGTGACATGAACAGGAATTTGGCTTGGCAGAGGATTAAAAAATAAACTTAAGACCAATTCTTTTCTTGTATTCCTATTTGCTGGTTTACTGATCCAATCCTGTCCTGGGCTAGTTCCTTGGTGACCTTCCCCCACCCATGCGATCTTTCATCACAAGAGCTATTGCTATGGGAAATTTTACAGGGATAGCCCCACATACCTCAATACAGTGTCTGAAAAAGGTCTCTTATCTTGCGGTCACAGAGGCGTCTTGCGTAAAGATCGCTAGCAAAGCAGAATGAATTGGGTTGCTGCTTTATGATTTATTAAAAATCATGAGAACTTCCTCCCTTGTGTTCCTTGAGCAATATCAGAAATGTCAAGTGTGTGCTATGGGAAAGGAAGTGCATTGAAGGGTTTGGCAGCCCCACTCCTTTAGTTCAGAGCTGCTGATTCCTTAAGAAAAATGACCCGGGTTAGCCAACTCCAGAGTCCTCCCAGCAAAGGCCCAGGTAGGCTGTCTTCACTTGAATTAAACTGACTGTCTCTCCCTAGCAGGGAGCTAAGTAGTTAATTGCACTAGCTAACCAAATGTAAATGGTGATAAAAATGTAGCCGTGTTAGTCTGGGGTAGTTGAAGCAAAATGCAGGACACTGTAGCACTTCAAATCTGAGCAAGTGGGTCTGGCCCACGAAAGCTCATCATCTAATAAACTATCTAGTTAGTCTTTAAAGTGCTACATTGTCCTGGATTTTGCTTCAAATGTAAATGGGTTAACCTGGCTCTGTGCTTGAAGAAAAGTTGTGGTATCTCTCCCTAGCCTAAACACTATCTCATTCCTTAAGCTGCACAATTGCAGAGTCTGACTAAAAATCACTTGCTCTCAGACTTCCCTTGCTTTCTATCCCTGCACCTGCATTGACTTGCAACCCTAGTCTAGCCCTAATATCAACACTGCCTGATTTCATCTCCCTCCTGACTACATGGCCATCTGTTTCTCTGCAGATAGAGGCAAGGGGTGGGTAGTAGAGCACTCTGCATTGACTTGTACAGAAATGCAGCGTTAACTATCTGACATGACACTTATCACGGTGTCAAGGAAATCAAAATCCACATTCTCTGCTGCTCAGATCCAGGACACGTGCCCATGTTGCTAGAGCAGTAGCAGCACAGAGGTTACGTGTTCCTGTGCTTGTTTCAGGTGTTTTACTTAGAAATCCCTTAGTGCAAATAGAGTTAAAATACAACAAGTGGTAATTGGAGCGGGGGACTGTTCTGGGTTAAGCTGTGTTCTGAACACTCAACTCAACCAAGACTCCCATCAGTTGGACAGCGTGAATGGACCCAACCCAGGCCAATGGTTCCGTGGTGCCTGGGGGAAGGGAATCTCCTGGGACTGGTACAGCGCCGTGCACTAAAATGGGGCAAACCAGTCAGGTGTTGCCAGGCGGTCCGCTCGTCCAGTCTCGCCCACAGCTGTTTCCCCCTTGGTACAATGAGCGACTCAGTGGATGTCAATGGATCTTTTACCCTCGGGGGGAATTTGGCCGCTTCTGCTGCAGGCACAAGCCTTGTGCAGCGCGCACCAGACCTGTGCACTTGGGGTGGAGAGTGGCTGGTTCCAGGGGGAAGGGGAAAGGCGTCTGCTTTCGTGTGCACGGGGGCGCACGGCCAACTTCTCCAGGCGCCGGGGGGAGAGGAAGCGAGGAAGCGAGGCGGGGCTCTGGAGCAGCGCCTGCCCCAGGCAGCTGCTGCCACTTGAGAGCCAGGGAAAACACCCCGGAGGACAGCCCCAGCTTAGCTGGGAGCGCAGCTCGGACTCTGCCGAGCCTCGTCGGCGCTTGGAAACTCGCCAAAGGGAGGAGCTGGCTGCATCGCCCCTCTCCTCCTCCCCCTTCAGTGTGTGACTGGGCACGGGGCTTATAAAAGCGGAGCCCGGCTCTCCCCAGCAGCTCCCGGCGCAGCAGCAGGAGCAGGGGCCGTGCCAGGTGACACTTGCTGCCCAGGCGCCTCGGGGACTGTCTGAAGGACCAAGCGAGGGAGGCTGGGAGGGGGCTGCTAGTGTAAGAACCTGGCTGGGAGGGAGGCTGGGAGGGGGCTGCTAGTGTAAGAACCTGGCTGGGAGGGAGGCTGGGAGGGGGCTGCTAGTGTAAGAACCTGGCTGGGAGGGAGGCTGGGAGGGGGCTGCTAGTGTAAGAACCTGGCTGGGAGGGAGGCTGGGAGGGGGCTGCTAGTGTAAGAACCTGGCTGGGAGGGAGGCTGGGAGGGGGCTGCTAGTGTAAGAACCTGGCTGGGAGGGAGGCTGGGAGGGGGCTGCTAGTGTAAGAACCTGGCTGGGAGGGAGGCTGGGAGGGGGCTGCTAGTGTAAGAACCTGGCTGGGAGGGAGGCTGGGAGGGGGCTGCTAGTGTAAGAACCTGGCTGGGAGGGAGGCTGGGAGGGGGCTGCTAGTGTAAGAACCTGGCTGGGAGGGAGGCTGGGAGGGGGCTGCTAGTGTAAGAACCTGGCTGGGAGGGAGGCTGGGAGGGGGCTGCTAGTGTAAGAACCTGGCTGGGAGGGAGGCTGGGAGGGGGCTGCTAGTGTAAGAACCTGGCTGGGAGGGAGGCTGGGAGGGGGCTGCTAGTGTAAGAACCTGGCTGGGAGGGAGGCTGGGAGGGGGCTGCTAGTGTAAGAACCTGGCTGGGAGGGAGGCTGGGAGGGGGCTGCTAGTGTAAGAACCTGGCTGGGAGGGAGGCTGGGAGGGGGCTGCTAGTGTAAGAACCTGGCTGGGAGGTTGGCTGGGAGGGAGGCTGCTAGTGTAAGAACCTGGCTGGGAGGGAGGCTGGGAGGGGGCTGCTAGTGTAAGAACCTGGCTGGGAGGTTGGCTGGGAGGGAGGCTGCTAGTGTAAGAACCTGGCTGGGAGGGAGGCTGGGAGGGGGCTGCTAGTGTAAGAACCTGGCTGGGAGGTTGGCTGGGAGGGAGGCTGCTAGTGTAAGAACCTGGCTGGGAGGGAGGCTGGGAGGGGGCTGCTAGTGTAAGAACCTGGCTGGGAGGTTGGCTGGGAGGGGGGCTGCTAGTGTAAGAACCTGGCTGGGAGGTTGGCTGGGAGGGGGCTGCTTTTGCTGCCGGTCAGCTGTTCATGTGCTTCTGCTTCTGCTCGCAGGTGAACTTGAGCGCTGCTGCCCTCCCGCTGCAGCGATGTGGTTCCTGGAGAAGATGAAAGCCTCGCCTGGAAGCAGCCCTCTGAGTCCCTCCTTCCTGGGGCTCCCGCCAGGTGCCACGGCGCCAGAGAGAGCCCGGGGAGGGGCAGCTGCTTTCCCCAACGTTTTAACCCCAGACCGGATCCCTGCGTTCTGCATCCCACCCAGACTGACGGTTTCCTCTCCGCCCGACGGCTGCCTGGCAGAGCCCAGGCTGCCTTCCTCGGGCACGGCCAAGTGCGGCCCCAGCCTGATCTTGCCACATCTCATCCAGATAGAAAGTGCAGAGGAGATACCGGCCCTAGAGGAGGACTGCTCCAACTCCGACCCCCAGTCCCAGGCTGCGCTGTCCCTGCCCCATTTCCCCAAAGCCCAGACCTCCTACGGCTTCTGCACCTTGCTGGAGAGTCCCCACACCCGGAGGAAGGAGTCCATCTTCCACAGTGACCCCTGCAGCAGCTCTCCCTCCAGCTTGGTACTGCCTAGAGCCAGAGCCAATACCTGCCCTGGCAGAAGGGCGGCTTCCAGCCCCATTGCCATTGGGCCTGCTGGCAGGGCCTCTAAGCCCCTGCACAGGCCAGGTGCTGGGGACAGTGACGCTACCTCATCCACCGACTCGTCTCCTTTCAGCTCCCCGCTTCTGAGTCGCTCTCCCCCCAGATCCTGCCCGCTGCTCAAAGCTCGGAGCCCAGAGGGGCTGCTTGGCAGGGCCCTGAGAGCAAGGAACAAATCCAGCATGGTGCGGAACCACTCCTTGTCGACGGACGAGAGCAGCTCCAGCGATAACAGCCCCAATGCCACCCGCAGGTCTTCAGAGGGGCTAGTTGAGTCCTTCCGCACCCGGAGCTTTAACCTGTCACATTCTGCTATCTTCCCACTGGACCTTACCTGTGGCCGAGAGAGGCTAGTTGGGGAAAGCACTGTGCTACTGGATAGAGGAGGGTTGTTGAGACTGTCAGCAGAGTACTGTTCAGAAAACAGAAGGCTGAGACTCCGTCTCATCAGTGCAGAGCGTTTATATGATGCTTCTGTGGAGCCTAAAAGTATCAACTGCTGTATCACCTTCTCCCTTGTGCCAGGGAAAATTCAGAAGCAGAAAAGCACCGTTATAAAAAGAAGCAGAAACCCCATCTTTAATGAGGATTTCTTCTTCGATGGTATTACAGAGGATGATCTGTACAGCTTTTCGGTGAGGATGAAAGCAATAAATAAAGGGTGTAACTTGAAAAGAGACTCTGTGCTAGGTGAAAGTGAACTGAGTTTAGCAAATATTTTATCAATCTAAAATGCCAGGCAAGCAAGCAGATATTTATTTTTTTGTATCTTTCATGTGTTTTTTAAATAAATTATTATTTTAACAAATTACTTTTTAAAAGCCTTCATTTGGTTTTGTCTGCTAGGTCGCCTGCTCTTCCATGGAGAACAATGTTTGTTTTAAATTGATTGTTCATAGGGTGAAAACTTGGGTTTGTGTGGTAATTTTTATGTCTTCGTGGGATAAGATTGGGTAATGAGTCTTTCCTACTGGCTTATGGGTATTGTCTCTGGGGCAGGGATGGAGGGGAAAAACTTTTCTGCAAAAGGAGGAGGCTTGGTTTCTTAAAACCAAAGTTAGGTGTGAAATGTCTAGCACAATAGGTTCCCGATCTCGGTTGGGCCTGAGGAATGCTACACTTAATGAAAACAGAACTCTGCTTTTGAAAGGCAATATTGACACGGTTGTAATCGAGAGAAGGAAAACACTGCCAGCTACCTTGTGCTGGGAGCCCTTGACATGTTGGCTTAGAAAACAATTCTACTCTGCTATGGGACTGGATTGTTCCGTATTCAGCAGAACACACAGCAGAGGTGGAAACTTCTCACAATAAATATTATGTATCCAGGGTTCAGTGAGCTGCTTTTGGAACAGGCAGGAGCCTGGGGGGGGGGGGGGGGAAAGGGCATAAGTGATAACCCAAGACACTAACAAGAGGTTCCTGTCTCTGCTGCAGCCTGGGACCACTACTGGTAACTGCATATTGCTCTTACATGCTCCCAGCAAGAAGTTGTCCTCCGACCACTACTGGGGATGGGCTGTGCGGCACACAAGGAGATGCTGTGAGCAGCTGTTCTGGCTTGGTATTCATCGCCATGAGAGGAAACAACCCTGGGGCAGACAGTGACCGAGACTGGAGAGATGCAGGGATTGCAGCCTGTCTTACCCCCCTTTTCCAGCCTGTTAGTGGTGTCAGAGGGGCAAAGAATGCACCTGGGTTAGGTCACAAGGTGGGCTGCTTTCTTGGTTCTGCTGCAGATTTGGGTGACCTTGAACAAGCCAGTTCCCTCCCTGTGAAATGGGGCTAACACCCATCCACCACACAGTGGAGCAGGGTATCGAGTCCTGCAGTGCTCCTGAGACATCCAGCGACATGACAGCAGGAGGGACAGAACCCCTAGATGTGTTTTCGGTTGCTACCACCACTGGCTTCCCTCTGCTCATGAACTGAGGGGAGCAGATGGCAGTGACCAGTTAGTACAGTTGATATATCTGAAAACAGAGCATAGGCGTGAGTCCAGGAACTAGGCATTGGACTCCCACGGCTGCAGCTGACTTATCTGACCTTGGTTCAGGCTGTGAAATGTAGATAAGATTCCATCCTTCAGTATAGAGGAGGGAAACAGTCAAGCTGGGCACAGAGCCTGGAAAACAAGGGCCTTTTCCTAACACTGTGAACACAACAGAATCTGCACTGCAGGTGCTAGGTGCTGTGTGCATCGAGTATTTTTGCCTATGGTCTTTTTCCGAAAAATGACACTCACAGAAGTAGCTAACTTCCCCCACCCCCCCGCCCCAAGTAACTCTTTTTTTTATTATTTTTTTTAAACTGACAGCAATTTGTAGTTCTGCATGAGTGGGGCTAGAGCCCTGGTTTTCCTTTCAAAGGAACTGTTGGGCTGCATAAAGGACTCTGATAGACAGCAGGGCTACTGCGGTCAGTCCTTAGTGCTACCCAGGCTGTAGAACAGTTCTTCCTGCCCCAGCCTCAGCAATGCTGTGATGCTGCAAGAGTAAGCAGATGTGGTGGCCAGATGATCTGAACCCTTTTGAATCATTAGGACCATGGAGCAACTTCCCCCACCCTCATTGGCAGGCCTGCAAATGGACTTGACCGCATCTTTCTCCCTTGTCTGGGCTACTGCTGAAAGCCTACCCGGAATGATGCAACCGAAGGTCTGTAATTCACGTGCCTATCACCATGCTGCAAAGCACAGGGCTTTGGTGATAAGGGGATGGTTAGGGAAGACACTCTCATGGGAGAAAATGCTGAGTTCATGACAGAAGCAGATTACATGTAATGATGATCTTTGTGCTTGAGCAGACAGTTAAACCAATTAAGGGGTCCCAGCCCACTGCTCCGGCAAAGAAACTTCGATGTGATACTAACAAAATCTAGAAGGGGCACATGAGGATGGAACAGAAATAAAGATACAGATGTCACTCATCTAACCAATTTTGTTACAAACTAGCTGTCTCCCATAATAGCTTTGTGACTCTTCCCTGTTTATCATGAGGAATTTTCCCTGAGAAAAGCTCACAGGTGCCCTCTTCTGGCTGAGCGTATGCCACTTCTGTAAGGCAGGGAGTTACTTGTAAGTCAAGTATGCATGGGAATATGACGGATGGACAGGACAGTGTGACCCCCCACCCTATACTCACCCTGGAGAGGAGTTAACAGGGGTCAGCTGGGCCATGTAGGCTGGATGCTGGGGGACACTGAGGCTGAGAGGAAAGCCCTAATAAGGAGATGATCACAGGAGCAGGTGCGGCTTCTAAAGCCAGGAAACTAGGAATAGAAAGGGGGCTGTGGTCCCTTTCTCTAGGGCAAGGGAGAGGAAAGGATCTGGACCGGAAAGGAGGGTTTGTCGAGCAGCCCCAGAGGAAAGGGGTTTGGGTTAAGAGGAGAGAGAAGGGACTCCAGGGCTAGGCAAGTAGGAGCTAGTCTAAGGGAGTGGCAAGAAAGCTGGTGCTTGCCAGATCCTTGTTGCTGGAGACAGTGCCCTGGATGGAAAGCCATTGTGCGGGGAGGAGGAAAGTGGCAGGTTCCCTACCGGTCACTGTCTGGGCTGTGAACTGAAAAACAGTCCGGGTCCCTTTGTTCTAGCTACCAGGGGACGGGCTGAGCCGGGGCAGTGGAGTTAGGACTGCCTGGGATGGCGTGGAAGACTGTAACAGGACACCAGAAGGAGAAGACTCTTGGGACTTGGCTACAGGACTATGCCAAGAAAATGAGACGTGGCAGCTCCTGAGGTGCGAGAAAGGGGCCGAAGAACAACAGGGCCTGGGAAACCACAAGCAGAGGGCGACTAGCGAACAGAGCTAATCCCCAGAACAGCCAGGAGGAGGCACCCCTAGAAGTGAGGAGAGATCCCGGGACCAAAAGCTACACGGGTTGGAGAGGCACATACAAAACTTCTAGGGAAAAAGAGCATCTGTTTTAGGGCAAACAGATGCTGCTGCTTTAGTTGGAGACCAAGAGCTACTTATGAGAAATTTGGCCTTATGGTCCTATCCAGCTGTAAAGGATTGAGCCTCTATCCGTACAGTGCAATAAACTGAGTTTCTAGATGGGTTCAAAGCTGTCCCTGTTCCTCCAATATGGACTCCTGCCTGAGCTACTAGGGAAACAGTGAGCTAGGTCCAGACCGCTATGGTGGAAGGAAGAAAGAGGGAGAGGACTGAATAGAGTGGCAGTAGCAGTAGAAGGTATACTGTAGTAAGATGAGGGCCTGAAACATAAGCCCAGGTATCATAGGTCTGGGGCAAGGCCTGAGACCTAGACAGCAGTGGTCAAGACCTTGCTAGCATAAAGCAAAGTGAAGCTATGAGCAAGGGGCAGGACCCAGCTCACAGAAGTTGGCAAGAACAGGACTGGACCACTCATACCGAAGAAGTACTAGGGACAGGCCATAAACACGTTCCACAGGAATTGTAACAGATCACCTTGTAAAGAAACATCTCGGGACCGACCCCTCCCACCCCCAGATAACAGGAACATACCGACTCAGGTTGAGGACAGGGTCTAAACTGACACCATGATAGACAGTGATCGACCCCTCATGTACCAGGTAAGGGGGGATCTAGGTGCATCAGAGGATGGCAATATGATATGTCAAACCTGCACTTGTTTGTCCCTGTGTATAAAAGTGTACCCCAGAGAGTTGTCTTTGTCCAGCCAAGGGGGCACTGTCTCATTCCTGGCACTGATTGAGGGACCATTGTCAGGGGATCCCTAGACTTAGTGATGCGGTAGAGTCTGACAACTATAATTTTACTTTGCTTGACAATAAACCTGGCCTGGTGCCTTTGATCCTGATCTGATTTTGTGGTCTTTGGGGGCTCTCTTGGACTGCTGTGGTGGCTATTCGTGCAAGCCAGCATGACACACAGAGGAGCACATGGATGCAGCCGCATGAGTATCATCACTGAAGGAGCAGCAGACCTGTCAGGACACCTCACCGGTGCCACTTGGCCACCACTGAAAGAAACAGAAGTGGAGAAGGATGAAGAAATGAGAGCTGGAGAGGGAGGGATGAGGGTGAGGAGAGAAGGCTGAGTGGGACTTGGATACCAGGGCTCATCAGGGAGATGGGAACCAGAACATTAGAGACAGGGATCCAAATTGTGCAGATGGTGCAGACTGGCTAGAAATAGAGATGACAAAAGGGACTCTGACCCTAGGCAATGGGAGGTTGGAGTACAAAGGAGGGGTGGCACTACCACATATCCATTGTACGCGTACTTTCTAGCTATAAATATGGCACAATGACTGGGCTCACATGGACGCAGGTGAATACATTCCTCGTGTCATTATTTAAAGCCAGTTCCTATTTTGGCATCGTTACCTATGTCGACTCACCCATAATGGGCTGTTTCCAGTGCCTCCTGCATCCCGTAATTGTTTGCAGTGGATTGGTTGGTTGCTGGAGCTGGTCAGAAGATCTCTGATGAAAGGCTTTTTCATTGGAGTTTGTGAATTTATGAAAATCTAAACAGTCCACAGAGACTTGGATTTTGATGATGTTTGAACCCTGCCTGCTTTCCTGTCAGCTTGCTTATCCAGCGTGCTGGCAGCCTGGCTGCGGTGTTACAGTAAAGCTTTTCAGCCTCAGGGATGCCATCTCCTCTCAGAACAGGAGGGAGGGCATGATAGCCCTGCTGCGTTTCCCTGAGGCGACAATCTCTGAATTTATGTGGCATGAGTGTGAGACTGAGTGCCAGGAACATGCCTGCTCTAATCCTGGCTCCAATACTGATTTTCTCAGTGTTGAAAGGCACATTGCA